AGTATAGTAATACCAGTCAATTTTGACCTTGTGGGGACATTTTTTCAGTTCCCATGAGGAAACAAGCTTATAAATCATACAGAATTAGGTGTTGTTGTTGTTTTTTACTATAATAGCAGATAGTTTCCTGTGAGGGGTAGGTTTAGGTGCAGGGTTAGGGTGAGGGGATAGAAAATACAGTTTATACAGTAGAAGAACCATTACATCTATGGAGAGTCCCCATAATGATGGGAATACCAGTGTGTGTGTGTGTGTGTGTGTGTGTGTGTGTGTGTGTGTGTGTGTGTGTGTGCGCGCGCACTGGTTTGGGTAGTTTATGAGGACACAAATTTGTATAATGACATGAGTATGACACAGGTATTACAAAATGAAGGTGGTTAAAAAAAGTTTCCTGTGAGGGGTAGGTTTAGGGGTAGGGTTGGTGTAGGGCGATACTACATGTCTGTGTGAGTTTGTGCAGATCTTTGTGTGTTGGTGACTTACAGGGAATGTTAGTGGCTCCTGGAATAAATCCTGCTTCCAGTTCCTCTGGTTCACGAACATCGAAGAGCTGAACGCTTCCGGTGGACATCATTTCCTTCAGCTGCTCGTACGTCACAACATCATCTGAAGCACACGACGGGTGAGCACACATCTGAGTATTGAAATCATCCTGCTGCTAATTCATATTGGAAAGCTGTATTTATCTATTATTTATTTTATCATTTATCATTTAATATCTGATACCTTGATTATGGATAAATATAGATAACTGGAACTACAAATACTATTTTATCATTTCAAACCTAACAACGATTTTTTTTTTTTTTTGTGAACGATTTTTAGGGTTGGTAAATTTGATGAATGTTTTTAAAGTCTCTTCTGTTCACCAAAGGCTGCATTTATTTGATCAAAAATACAGTAAAAACAGTAATATTATGAAATATTATTACAATTTAAAATCACTGTTTTTTTGTTTAAATATATTGCAAAATGTAATTTATTCACAGTATTTCATCAAACTAAACTAATATACTCTGTGTGAAAGTTGGTTTTTACTCGTGTTTTCACAAAAAAATAAATACAGCATAAGAATAAGATATAGTAATATATGCTAACTATCACATGTATGGATGAAAATAATTTTTACAAAAAATGAAGTATATTTTTATGAAAATTTAAGAAATTAAGAACATTTTAGGACAATGCTAAGACAATATTTTCAAGACACACACATTTGCATTAATATTTGCACATATTAATTGGCTGGGAAGAAGTTTGATGTTTTCACTGCCAACCACTATCAAGCTAAACTCTGAAAAGTACTGGCAGCTTGCCATCAGTAGCCCCCGGGGGGGGGGGGGGGGGATCATGCTTTGTAAAAATCATAATTATAATTTTATTTTATTTATAATTTATAATTTAATTAAATAATTATAACATAATAATTATGAGATACAGAGTTCAAATTATTACATACTAAGTGTATGAGTAATTTTGACACAAGTCTAATTTTTTAATGTCATGATTGACTTTTTTTCTGATGATTATGACTTTTTATCTCATCATTATGACTCAAATGATGACTTTTCGTCTCATAGTTTTTATATTTGTCATAATTTCTACTTTTTATCTCATAATTAGGATTTAGTATCTCATCATTTTTACTTTTCATATAACAATTACAACTTTTTATCTCATAATTATGGCTTTTTCATCTCATAACTCCAACTTTTTGTCATTTTTGACTTTATCTCATAATTATCTCATAATGAATTTCTCTACACATAATTTACATCTCATAATTTTGACTTTTTGTCCTTTTTGACTTTATCTCATAATTATCTCATAATTAATTTCTCTATACATAATTTACATCTCATAATTTTGACTTTTTGTCCTTTTTGACTTTATCTCATAATGATCTCATAATTAATTTCTCTACACATAATTTACATCTCATTTGTCTTTTTCGACTTTATCTCATAATGATCTCATAATTAATTTCTCTATACATCATTTACATCTCATAATTTTGACTTTTTGTCATAATTATGACTTCCTATGTCATAATTGCCTTTTTATCTGATCATTTTTGTCATAATTTCTATTTTTAATTACGACACTATCTCATACTATTGACTTTTTCGTGTCATAATTGGCCTTTTCTCGTAATTAATTGACTTATTATCTCATAATTAGTCATTAATAGTGTCATAATTACAACATTTTATCTCCTAATTACAATTGACCAAATCCTTTTTTCCCCTTATGTGACAGAAGAGGGCTTTCATAGATATCAGGCAGGTTATGGCCAAGCCAACTCTGTTCATCAGATGATGCAACCCTCTCTGACCCCTGAGTCACTGGCCATACGTGCAAACTCCCATGCTCACTATGAATGACAGATGTTACTTTTCCCACGTTCGTTAAATGCACAACATTACTTTGTTTCGCATATAAGCCAGTGGAATACAAATACACATTCAAGTCGATTTTTAAAACATTTCTCTGACATTTCAGACATGATTATTTGCAGATACAGTGAGAGCTCAATACTTCACCTGTATTTAGAGGTCGATTGTGAGAGGTCTCGGTCCATTTACTGCAGCTGTCAGCTCCATCATCACATTGATCCGAGCTGTCTGCTGAGACTGACAGAAGCAGGAGCGCCGCAAGAGCGCACACACTTGAACTCAGATGCATCACTCTATTCAACTCTATCGAATTCCAGATAAGACACGTGCGCTTTTAACCACAGATAGAGTGAAGTCTGAAAGGTGCAGCTATGACTGATCTAAAGCAGTGTGTTTGGTTTAACGTATGATTGAGGCGATTACACGGATCTAAGTGTCGCTGATCGCGTTTATCGTGAGAAATTAAGCATGTTTTCCTCCAGGCGGCGCTCGGAGGCTCAAAAGCCGATTTCTCTATCGTCCTCTTGTGCATGTGTGGGGGTTTATCTTTTATTGGAGATCTTTCACTATAACCGTTTAAACCTATTAATTTAAATGAGCAATGTCTAATACAGACATGCAATGTTTTCCCCCAATTATTCCTTTAAACGTAATTAAAACAAATCTTTATCTAGTAACCACACTCGAGTGTGATCGGTCCGTTCAGATCAGCGCTGAGAAAAGTAACACACACCGCGTGACTGCGTCGCTCGCTTTAATGTGTCTGCAGCTGTCATGGACAATAATGTACTAGTTAATAATTTCATTAAGTAATTTTAAAGCCATTGTATCGAACATATACAGTGTGTAATTAAAACAGGAAATGTATTATATATATCACCAGAGTTCACCAATCAGAGAGAACGCCTGGTCTGCTAAGCCACGCCCACAATTGTATTTCCACTCACTTTTGTGTCGGTCTAAACCAAAATATAAGAGGAAATAACCATGATATATCAGATGTTATGATACATACGTGTATTTCACGTTCAAACAAAACGTACTAATTTTTTTTATACATTATTTAGTTGTATATCATTACTGTTATAGTCATAACTCTGTGAAATTGTTGTAAAATAGTTTTTGATCAACCCCCGCCTCTTCCGAACACATGGTACATTCCGCCGATGGCTCATAGTCATATGATCTAGATACCACATATAAACTGTAGCAGTGACATTTCTGTCAGCTGGACGGTCAGAAACACAGTTTCTCTACATCTCGACACCGATCAACCAAACATTACAGCAATGGCAACAATGGTTGGAGGTCCATCCGAGGTGAAGCAAGCCACTGCTGAGGTGCAGAAGATCTGCGATGAGGTGAGACTGGAGCTTCTGTGTTTGTTTTGATGCTGTAAGTCAGCTGATGTGGGAATGCACGTGATGTGTATTTATTAGTTTAGTGTATTTATCAGTTATTATAAGCTGTTTATTATTTATTAGTTAGCTCTGCAAGTGAACGGCGCATTATAGAGCCATCCCAAAGACGCACAAGATCACTTTCACAGACTTTCACATTAACCGTTCCCTCCTGCTGCCCAACTCAACCCGAGCAGCGGCGTCCTTAACCATCTTCAAGAAACCACTGAAACACATCTCTTCCATCTTCATTTGACCCTCTGACTCTAGCACTCGCTATTTTAATTCTAAGAAAAGAAAGACGTGAAAAAACACTTGACCCTCTAACACTTGCACTCTCTATTCTATTTCTATTCTTTGACTTTTTATTTTATTTATAAAAAAGACCCTCTCACTTGCACTCTCTATTCTATTTCTATTCTTTGACTTTTTATTTTATTTATAAAAAAGACCCTCTCACTTGCACTCTCTATTCTATTTCTATTCTTACTACTTGTCTTTAAAAAAAATAAAAAAGAGCCTCTAATACTTGCATTCTCTATTATTTTTCTATTCTTTTGACATTTTTATTTTATTCATAAAAAAGACCCTCTAACACTTGCACTCTATTATAGTTCTATTCTTACTACTTGTCTTTAAAAAAATTAAAAAAGAGCCTCTAACGCTAGCATTCTCTATTATTTTTCTATTCTTTTGACTTGTTTTATTTGTATTTTTAAAAAGACCCTCTAACACTAGCGTTCCCTATTCTTTTTCAATTCTGTCTACTTGTTTTCTTTTTATTTATAATTTTTTTTAAATCTTGCTACATGTACTGCGTTAGACTAACCGAGACTTGTCACAGCACTTACATATTATTGCCCTTTTGTTAGTTTGATTGCTTCTATTGTCCTCATTTGGAAGTCGCTTTGGATAAAAATGTCTGCTAGATGACTAGAAGTTACTATGCTATGGCAATAAAATAATAAATAAAAACTATTAATATAGGATAGCTATGTTCAGCTTCCTGAATGACTCAAAGTCAGAATGTCTGTCAAATGTACAACAATAGCTTGCAACAGTGATTGTTGGTATTAAATAGTATTTATAGAAGCTTAAAAAGTTACAAACAAGCAATTAAAAAAAGTTCTTTGCATTTCATTTGTATATTTTATGATATTTTATTAAATGTACTTAAATTGTGTGACGTACTGTATTATGGAAGAATTTAATATAGTCTTTAAAGAGCCTATTATTAAGTGTTTAATTTTGCCTAACCATACAGTGAAAATTACACATACATTGTGTGTATTGCTTTATACAGTTAGGTCCATATTTGGACATTTTT